CTGTCGGTCTATAATCCCTGAATGAATCTCTATGGTGCACGTAACTATAGGCCGTAATTACAATACACAACATACCACATGTAACATATATACTACAAGGAGTTACAATTATAGTCTGACTTTACTACTGTAGCTTACGGCCATAAAATATAACGAGTCATGCCCACATGCTAATAAACCTGCTACTAGTTTTGAATAATTTTGAACGATCTGGCTGAAACGACATGTGTTACACAAGTATTCTATGATACGACCCACTGACCAACATGCGACAATCCAGTTACGCCGCGCGGTGTAAAACAATGTAACAATTTTTGTAACTCTACATGAAACATTCCTAATAGCATTAACATGGCTTTTTCATATCACACATACACTAAAACGGTCTTTAGAAAATTGCAGCACGATGAAATCAAGTAAAGCAAGAAAAATTCGCAACCTAGTAGCTCTAGTACAGTTGCCGCAGACGCTAGCAACCTAGCTGTTTCATGTGTTTACTCTTTCATCCACGGGGGTCTCTGTGGGTGGATGTGTCGGTACGTATACGACGGTCGGTATTATATATATACACGAAAAACCCTCACTCGTGGAAAAATCGCACGTGTGTATAGTTACTTGTGGCTAAGAATATTTGTGCGCTACACCCAAGGTAACACGACTTATCTGCTGCCCGAATCAAAACAAAATGTCCTTGACCAACAAAAATGAAGTTCATTGGCTACTAAAGGCCCTTTAATTTACTTTCCTCTCTGGTACTTTTTATGCCATAGAGAAAAAATAATTTACAGTAGAATGCTTCACATTATGCACAGTCCTTTTGCTTCTGCAGAATACGCTCACGTAGTGAGATAATAGCAGTAAACAGTGTTAGGCAGTGTGTCATATGGCGCTAGAATTTGTTAGCCAAGTACATCTAATAGCCAGCCTAATAATATAACCAGCCGCAAAACGCCTCCCGGCAAATGCTAGTTGCTAGCTACATCATTATCGTAGCTGGTTGGGCAATGGCACGATGAATGCCACTAGTGTCTTGCCCATTCTAGATCAGTCGGATCTCCGCGACCGCAGTCTGTCTGACCCAGTTGGAATAACAATAGAAGCTCACGCGCGAAGAATGGCGTACCCTTTCGCCCGAACTTATCGCTGTCCGCTAGGTTGCCTCGGAACGATTCACGGAGTCAGTCTAGCTGCACGCAAGCTGGAGCCATACTTACGTGCATGTATGTGCACGCACGCACGCACGCACGCACGCACGAGCGCACGCATACACGCACGCACGCACGAGCGCACGCATATATATATATTTGAGAAATTGCCTGGCTCGGCCGAGGAGGAAAGGAAGAAAAACGGGCAGATCCAGACAGAGATACAACGTGGTGAAAGACCTTCTGTCAACTATGTTTGGCTTGGAATGCAACGTATCACGAACAGTAGCTAGGCGTGCACGTGAATGTCACTTCTAAGCCAGGGTTCCGGTGGGGGCATTAACAATCACCACATTCCCCGAACCTATGAGACCATACCGCCCGCGCGTCCACGTATACACGTTCTAACCTACTAGTGAGAAATTATTACGCTTGCACGTTAGAATAGGTCAGTCGTTCCTGCAATGAGTGACACGCGAATATTTGAGCTAGTATAACTAATAGAGCCAAACACTACATAATATACGTGCTTAAGTACCTACTGATCGCTGCTCATAATAAACGCCATGTACGTCGTGACCTGATGATACATTTCATTCCATTGGCAATCGAAACAACAGACGCGGTGCGCCTGTCCGTTATAAAGTAATATACTCTAGTATATATAATAGTATTGGTTATGCCTATGCCTCGATCACTCACGCGGTATAAAAAGATCATTTCAACTGTGTATGTTGCATGCAGTCTTGAAGTTTACGTAATTCTAAGAATGCGCTACACGAAAAACATTCGTTGAGTTTTCTATAGGCGCAGCGCTTTCTTAAGGGTAATGCTATCCCCCGGGCGTGGAGGGAGGTGACCGCAACGTGGCAGCACTAGTGTTAGGATAGTGTTAGGATTAGGGTTAGGGTCAGGGTTAGGGTTAGGGTTAGGATTAGGGTTAGGATTAGGGTTAGGATTAGGGTTAGGGTTAGGGTTAGGGTTAGGATTAGGGTTAGGGTTAGGGTTAGGGTTTTTGCATCATGATATCTGTCCCCACACCATAGATTAATTTGTGTGGATAACAATGCCTATATATAGCGCTGCGACATATATATATTTAGTGTAGGGTTAGTGTTGGAGGTCTTGTAGTTAGAGTTACCGTTAGTCTTAATATTTTGAACGTCATCGTCAACGTTATCACGTGACCTCCCTCCACGCCCGGGGGATAGCAACACCCGCTTGCTCAAATATCAAGAACGCGAGTAATTTAATATACGTGCCAAGGGTGAATGAAAACAATTAACTTATATTCATTCCTGATAACAGTAGGCCTGTATGTATATCACGTGACATCGCAAAGGTGCACGGTGCCGCTCATTTAATTAGCAAGAAATCTAATTTAACCTACCATATACTGACTGTCAAGTTGACCCGTAGTAGTCATATAAATTTTACGACAGACTGACAGCCCATGCATGTGCTTACGTTGGTTGCGTTTTTAATTTGCGCAAATATTTTGTGATGTTGACGAGGAAATTGAGGAATGATGGTACAATTTACTAGTTCCATAAAATGTTTAATACCCACATGCAATAAACTCCAGCCGATTTTGAAATTTGGTTGTTTTTATTTCGCTTTGATCTTCGTACGACATTCGATCGTTTCTGGTACTCGATTTCTACGCAAATTTTTGTCATATAGTAGCTGAAGTTATCGCCCTATAACTTAATTATTATCAGCATGATATACAAATGAATATTCACACATAATTAACTATCATGTATATTAGTGAAAATCTATCGCTGTACACTATACTATAAATATAGATTATTAGTGCTGTATAAGTTATATCAGGCATAGTAAGTGGCCCCAAGCGACCCTGCATTTATAATGATCCGTGTGCAGAAATTACATACATTATGATTGGTAAAGCTTTAGTAGATTCTAGCTGTTGTAAAAAAACAACGTCTACAAGTTCATGGCTCAATAGAGGCCAGAGCAGCTCAAAATTGCTCTCAGCTAGATCGTATTTAGTATTTAGCACAACAGTAAACAAATGCACGACTGTTTCACATGCCAGGGTAAACAAATGGCTAACACCCGACTTCGCCATGAATGTATGTATGTATATATACTCGCCGCGCCCGTCAAGCAAGAATTCCGCAGTTACGAAAAATAGGAGCGCGTTCTCGTGCGAGAAGGCCGATGGGCTTACTCGCTTAACCAAGTTCTCAGTACAATGTCAAGAAAGTGAATCAGATAATCTGGCCTTTCTTTACAAAACCTTCACTATGAACACGCAAGCAAGATTAGTGTCAGCTTCTAAGGTTGCTGTAAAGTGACTTTCAATACGGGTGGTCCGTTTAATGATAATAAATATACCGAGAGCATTTCTGGCTTGACCCACATGCACTGCGTGTACCAGATAATACGCCTGCTCTCAGACAAAGGTTTCGAACTTTGCACGATTGGCAGAGAAAGTGGCAATTACACTAAGCCCTCGCATATACAATGATTACAAGACAAAGATGGCTAGACATTAGCACACAAATAGAAATGTTATTGAACCTGGGATGAAACGGCGAGATCAAGAGATGAGTACATAATGTAGGGTTTACCTCTCGTGTGCACTCATCTCACATTTCCTTTGTTCTTCCCCGCTTCTCATTTTCCTCATCCTTCTTATCGCCTCTATGCCCGAACCCTTTCTCTTTGTCAAAACTCAATTCTCAGTCTTCCCCCTCACTTCTACTTCATTCTAACTATCTCTGCCTTCTCCTCCCTTGTTCCACTACACTCATGAGAAATTCAGCTGGGGCGCAGTGCGTCACTGCTCATCTAAGGCTTAAGGTGGAGTGGGCAATTGAGAGTTGGAAGCAATTGATGATATTTGATATTGAACATAGTCATGTTCGGATATTTCTGTCCACTAATTTATGACAACGAATTACAAATAAGGTAGGTTCTAAAATGTACACACAGCTGCACAAAAACATGCCACTGATCTAGCTCATGATGATCCCATGAGAAACAATAGCGCCAGAAGAACGTCAACGAAGGCCTTGGCGGGTACGATTGTTTTCTGACTACTACGAACGTATTAGTAATCAAGTAGAGAACGTCAACGAAGGCCTCAACGAACGTCAACGAAAATGATTTACTTATTTACTATATATACTAATTGTAAAAAAAGGTTTTATACGAATAATCGCGTAGTTAACCTTTGGCATGATGTTAATCATTTCGTTATACTATGCATATGTCTTCAGACAACAGACATGCTTTATTAAGAATGTTTATATTAATGACTATGTAGATTAGCCTCCACAATTTAAACGTACCTACCGTACGTGCCACAGACAGATTTTGATGTAGTATATACCAATTATATAAAACCGTTTTATATAAAACCAACATAATCGAAAACTTGGCCGTTGGAGACTAGCTCCAAAAGTTTCACGTCACCTATTAAGATACTAACATATTTGCCCAAGTCTGCCGAGTACAGTAGTAAACACTGATCACATCATATATATATATAATGGCGGAGGGGGGGTAGTACATACTCATATATATATATTATATATATGATCACACCACATCTAAAATACGCTGTATACGTGTATATTATATATATGTATGTAGTGTACGCGCACCACTAACGCATCGATCCTAATTTTAGAGGTGTGTAAAACAAACATGTTATAGGCAAATCTCATCTTCTAGAGAAATCTGAGCCAATGGTAACGAATTTCTGCAGTGAAAGAAGCGAAGACGCATATAAATAGTCTTCCAGTTCCGATGTGCAGATGGCACACGAAAGATTTACGATGACATGGAAGTCAGTAATCCGATAATGAAGGCTATCAATACCTTAGCACATGAGCCAGTGATCATCTGGCGTAGATTTTCAGAGAGCGCGCATCTCACCTCGCAAGTCTCAACGTTGCCACTGGATATAACCTCGTTCGTCTGAGTGTTCTGCTTTGTTTCAACCGTAACAATTTTCGCTCCATCTTCCTCTTCTCCGGTGCTCTGAAAAGTAAGAGATGGTTACTTTATTGATTTGAGTACATAATAAAGATGATCAACATCATCTAGTGATGACAATTTACAGACTAGATTCTTCGTGAACCGCGGACTACTGTGGTTCAAGGGCATGTAATATATGAAGTCGTTGAATCGTGAGGAAATCCACGTAGGCTTAATTGCACGTCACGACCAACGAAGCTATATCTGTTGACAAACGGCAACTAATGACATGGATGAAAAAATCCAATTAACATGCTGAAAAATAAATGACTAGTTATAAAGTCCGGCTCACGTACGCCCGGCCTGCGTTAATTATATCAAGAGCTAATAATATTGTATTATTAGTCCTTGGATATCTATCCTACAACAATGCATTAAATGTGAAAAGGCGAACAGCCGATACGCTTACCAGGTGCAGGAAGAGTGTTAGAAAACGGAATCGGTAGGTGCGATTAGTGAAACGAATTAACTAAATGAGTCACTGCCATCCACAATCATTGTTAATCGACACGCGACTAAATGCATATAAACAATAGCTAATAATACCTATTATATAGCTATTATATGTATTATTAGCTCTTGATATAAAGGTAGATATGTATCAGAAGTAAATAATAGGGAATGTGTATCTGATATGTATCTAAGCCAAGTAGCAGATTATAGCTTACAAGCGTTTTTGATGTATGATTGGTAAACAGCTGACAGGGTTGTTTTTCTAGACATATCACCGCGTCTAAATAGGAAAAGTAGATCAATTTTACAAGTATGCTAGAGTTGAAATAATAATCACTAAAAACGTTGCACGATCACAAACATCACAGCTGTTTCAAATCAAATACGACTGTTTTATTCCGCCGAAGGTTAATAAATCGTAATAGTTTTTGCGATGCTTTTTTCTACACTCTATCCATGTTCTCCGCTCAAGAATCTTTGCACATCCACTATATTTTGTGTGTGTTATGGTATCAGAAGACAACTTGGCAAAGCAATTAGTGTCTATAGACTCTATCAGCTGCGATACTGGGAATCTTTCAAGCGATGTTTTGCAAAAATGCGTAGTATTCTCCTATATGCCGTGCCATGGATGAATGGCTTCACTTTACCTAATAGCCACGTGCTGTAAACAGTACTACTTCAAATCACCAGCACCCATGAAAAAATATGTTTGTGTCAGCGTTGAAACCAAAAATCACAAGCAGCACTCGGCTAGCTTTTGTTTTGTTTTAAGTCTGCGAGCTGTTCCCAGTCCGCGAAAGCTCTCGGCGTTGGTCTCTAGACTATAGACTACTTGTTACAGTTATTTGTTCCCCGTGGCCCTCCTTCAATCCACGCACGAAACACTACTAATGAACTGTTTATTAAGAACGCCATAATTGCTTGTGTTGAAACGTTGCCAACGAAACGCCTTCTTTCTAGAATGGTTAAAAGCTGCGCAGCAAGCATCCGGCCGCAGGAAGCCGACCTCTCGATCCCTTGCTGAAATTTCTCAAGGCAGTCAGCGGGGTGGCCATTGCCGGCAAGGCTTGCAATATAATCATGTTGACTCGTGGGCGTGATAACTATATGCAGCGGCCAAAAAGGAAACATTATGCTTGGAAACTGTTCAGGAACGTCAACCATCAATCACGCTGAAATTCGAAAACGCATATATATGATAAAGTTAGTTAAACGGATCGACTAAAAATAAGAAATCACATGTATTTCGGTAAGTGTAAACGATAAGTGTTTAAATTATGATCGAAAAACCGGTTAATAAATTATGACACAGGCATTGGTTTACAAGCACATACACGCAAAGTACACAGTACACTTGGTTAAAGTAACTAAAATAAAGTTTGAGTAGTAATTTCCCAGCGACGCAATATGTGGCTCTACCATTAAATCACACCAGACTTCGATTCGACTCGATTCGACTCGATTCGATTCGACTTGAATTAAGGCTTATTATGTTATTGAAACTTAATCCGAATTGCACTGTTTAAACACGAGTGACATATACCCGTTAGTCATACCTTTAAATCGTTACTTAAAAATGCATAACATTAATTGTTGCTATATTTTAATTGTATAGCAAATCAAAACTCATTTTAGCAAGCTTATGAACTTGGCAAGCGTATATATGGTATGTTAAAACATACATACTACAAACTTTACCATAGTATCACAACAACATATACAACCGATTAGAATCAGCATTACTTATCAAGTTCTCGATAACCAACAACTAACTATAACAAGAAGCTTATAAAGTGTAATATAAAACGCCGTTGGTGTCATTAACTAACAATGGTGTCAATTGCTTTATGACAACATTGACATCGTTCTTTAGAATGTCTTTCACAAGCCTAGGGGAGAACAAACAGCGAAATGCAGCGCGACAGGTCTACCGCACGCAATAACAATGATAAACGGACAGGATTCCAATTGGCACGCCTAACGTCATCGACCTGTAGTGACTGGTTAGTGAAGCGATATTGTCAAATTACCCTCTGGCGATTCTTGACAAATACCGTCACACTGTTCACCACTTAAACTATATATATATGTATA